ATGTACCAATCCTTTACACTTCCTTAAAAAGGATACACTACTGCACACTTCCTTGCTGAGTTAACACAGGGGCTCGTAAACCTTAAAGCATACCGACGGCCAAAACATGGTTAAAGGCTGAGAAAGGCTGAATAGGTCTCAAGTCCACCATACTATCACCTACGTCAAAACAATTTTTACTCCAGATGTGACGGAAACGTTTACATCCCACCGCTGCCACCAAAATGTCACATACTAGAGTAAACACAAAACCAGATACAAAAGTTAATATAATTTATTAACTAAATCTACCTTACTTACAATAGTTCAAAGAGACTTGCATTCCCAACTTCATTCTCACATCACCAAACACACCCACACTCTTTCCCCTACACACGCAAGTACGCACATCATACCTCACCATTCACATATACTCACATACATTCACATCACAAGTCACATCAACCCTCAAAATATCACAACACTACAAATGTCTTTTTAAAGAAACAAACCATTCATATCATTCCATTATATGCATGGACGATGGAAGAATTAAACAACTTCATTGAAAGCACAAATCAATAATTATTGTATACTGTACAAATCACTGTCGATGTTGTTATCACCACATGTGGGATTTTCAGACAGTTCAGTTCTGTAGTGGTAGGTTAGGGGTCCTTCCCCTGCATGTAAATCTTTACACACTTCGGTTGCATGTCACTCTGATCCCTGCTGATCAGTCGGTACAGCCTTACATGCGGGGCACGTCACTCTCCCCAGACACACAGATGTCAGGTCACATCACAGGCGGCATGTCAGGATCGATCCCTCACGATCGGCGGGACAGCCTTACGGGGTGTAACACCTACCCCGGACACTGGATACAAAAGGTACACCATGTACTTGGTGACTTTACACATACACGATATCCGCCGTGATGTTGCTGGAATATTGCTAAAAGCGGCGTAAAACCAAACTCAGTCAGTCATACACGATATATATATTTCACACACATGATGTGTTTACAGGGCTGTTTTACAGTCACTTGATACACAATACTACCACTATACATTACACATGAATGCTGACTGAATATTATTACGCCAGTATACTAGCTTAGGGACATTCCCAAATGCTTTCATATAAATCACAATTCCATCATATTACTAACCTCAACAATACTATTACATATATTTCACCTAAGTTAAGGTTACATATTTTAAGGTGAAATGCCATCAAATCTCAATACATATACAAACAATTCATTGACCTATTCTCACTAAGACATAACATAAAATTATAACACTCACACCAGTTGAATATACAGGAAAAACAGCCAACCTGACACACACATACACTGTCCAACTGGTTGCCAACTCACAACTTTCAAATCAGTCTTTATATACACCCCAAGATGCTTGGTTGACCCCCAAGCTTACTACCCAGATACATACAATGGTCTCTCATACTGCACACCTTCAACACAACAATCGCTCACTGCTTACATCACTGCTCGTGCTCGCAAGTCCTCACTCCAAACCTGCCACGAAGGTACTCAAATATAAGATAAAACAGACATTACACTACTTGTGATCTTGACAATCATGAGCATCGATCTACGCAATTCGGATACGATAACATGTGTCAACCAAGTCAGCGAGTCTGACCACCCGATCCCGTTAGTCGCCTCTTACGACAAGCATTTGTTGCTGAAGACCTATTCTAACCCGGATCTTCACGGGTCGATATTTATAAATATATATTCCTGACGAAAGCAGAATATATATTTGCTCATTTGTTATATTTGTTTGTTATATATAATTTGGGTATTTGCCTGTAGTGCAACAATGCATCCAACGATACTACTGCAATATACAGGACTTCTTTGCACCTCTTATTACCAGCATGCTTGGCACAATCCCCAATCTTGTTTTTGAGAGATGATTATGGTCGAGCTTTACAAGGAGAAAGTCTTTTCTTGCCAGCGCATTTGAAACAATGAATAATATTATTGTCGTTCTTTGCTGCGCACTGCACGGGTATTCAGTGATGACAGATGCACATGAACATATTTCTGATTCCACAATCAGACTACTGTCTTTTTACAGGAATAGATGTAACTTATGACTATCAAAATGCAAAAATGAATAGATTGGAATGGCCAAAAACGTACACGACACTAACGGCAACTCAAGCAAATACATTTATAGCCTCTATTTCCAACATCGTATGCTGTACAGAAGAGCTATGCGAATATTATTTGTACCTATCCCAAGCAAAGATTTCTGAGAAGTTATATTTGATAACCCAATAATAGGTTGCCTTTTCTGATAACGATTGGCAAAGAGGCAGTTGTGGCTTTTTATAGGCCAGTGTTATATCATGCATAGAACGGTCTGCTGTCTGGACAGCCGTGTACACATGTATCTAAGGGCAGACTGACATGTGTCCACCGTTTCACAGTCCACCATACGCACGCATCATTTTGGAATATTCTCAGGGTATCTTGAAAGAGTACTATAACGAGAGCTTGTTGCAATTCTCATACAGCTACAACTGTGTACACATAGAAATATTGTCGTGAGCATGAACTATTTCTGAACATCGCCCCCTTGTTGTTTAATAGAGTGCTCCATTTTTTTCCGGGACAATTAGATGGTGAAATCCTTAACTGTCAACACGCCCTACGCTGCATCAATCAATTCTATCAACATTCCCGTGCAGCAGCCATTGCAACATGATTGGTAGAAATGAAACGCTTCCCTGACTGAAGAGAACGTCATATCGAAGTTTTCCGCGAGTCTTCTCTTTGACAGACGCGCATGATTTTCAATAAATCGGCATGATATTCATCACTCATAGTTTTTCCGTCCTCTATAATCGATGTGTGTTATGCTCCAAAGAAGGATGTCATTAACTTTGCTAAATTATGGTTCCTTTAATCCGTTTGGGTTTGGAAGATCTGAAGTGTTTCCACTCGATGTTTGCTTGCCGGATCATAGTAACGACTCCAGGTCGCATCGATAGTCACTGGCCTAAACTGGAAACCATCTGGGCTGCTATTACATCTGTAATCAAAGCATCAAAGACGATGGCCTTCATTTCATCCGATGGCATTCTGGAAACCTATCGGTTACAAACCTTTGACATATGTAGATTTTTATCACAGAGTGTGTCATTTGATCCACAACTCACGGAGTGTACCACGCCTGTTGCTAAGGACAAGGTTGTAAACGATATCTGTGTTTTCCTTTGCGATGCCGTTCAATCTCTCTCATGCTGGAGATACTTCCCCCTACGTTTAACTGTTGAATATGATGAGGCAGCTTCCGCTCCAACGGCATGAAACCAGTCATCAATTTTCTGTGGTTATTGACCTCTGTGCTAAAAGAACGACGCTCCATATTCCCCATGCCAATGCTGAAGAGTAGGTTACCGCAGAATCGAAGTCAGTTATCAGTAATTCAAGGGACTAAAGCCCGCCAAATTGTGCAAGATATCTAGGAAACCCATGTAACATGTTTCAATATTGCAGCTCAATACATGATCGGTAGGCTTGCTTTAATAAAATTAAAATCTTCATATTAGCTACATATACAACACCTCCTGTGTATTTCTATACATGTAATATCGTGCATGTCGTGAACAGCTGTACCGTTCGACGTGTTAAGGAAATCTTGCTATGTTAGGTGCTAGTTTATATCACATAAACAAGTGTCCTGACTAAACACACACACACGCACTCACACACTCTGTCTATCTAACATATATATGTATATATTTCTATCTAACATGATATATTTTGGAAAGATATATTTCAACGCACTAATGCCCTGACGTACACTGCACTCCTTTATACCAGATACCATATAGTAAATCATAATCTATTATATGGTGTCAAGACTTAAAAGCCGTGGAAGACTTAAAAATAACTCAACAATTTTCAAAGTTCAGTATAGTTTTACTTACAGAAACATGAACCAACGAACTATTTCAACGGTACTATATACAGCAATATGTCCTAATTTGACATAACACGACACGGTCCTTATGTGACCACCGAAACCACCATATGGTCCAACTGAAGTCCTTATTTGACTTCTTACAATTATGCCCTGATTTGGCACTATAAGAGACAGTCGCCGACAGTGTGGCTGCTCTATCGAAAAACAAAACGTGGTTCACGCACGGCTATCCACCGTTTTTCAAGTGGTGCGTTCATGCGAATGTTTGGGTTAGTTCGGACCTTCTGTCCATATGGTCTCTGTTTAAACAATCCACCAAACTAGTGCCCTAGTATCTATCATCCATCGCATTTCCAATGGCATGTCAATACATAGGTCGTTACCGCCACTTTGCATAACGCAAAGATTTCTTCATTCTTCAGATTAACCCCGTGTACAGAATATACAACAACGTGTGGACACTGAATATACGAACGAAAACACGTCAAGTCCAGTGAAGGATAAGAAGATGATTCGACAGTGGCAATACGTTATGTGAGAGATGCATTTGCTCCAGATCATCTGGAAAGACAAAATCTTTCTCACATATCTGTTGTCTTTTCTTTTCTTGTTGTTTAGACTTTTCCCCAGAAAATAATCTGACATATGGCTTAATTTGCTAGTGGTGAGGATCAACAATGATTAACATGTTGCTACATCGAAAGTCGTAGGAGATGACTAACGGGCTCGTGTGGTCAGGCTCGCTGATTTAGTTGGCATATGTCATCGTACCCCTTTTGAGTAGATCGATGCTCATACTGTTCATCACTGGATTGTCTGGTCCAGATTCGATTATTTAAAAACCTCCGTCATATAGCTGGGATATTGCTGAGTGCGGCGTAAAGCATCAACCAGCCAAAGCAACACTTCGAAGGTTGTGACAGATAAATCATAAAATTAATGTAACCATTGCAAAGGTTTGTTATGTGTAACCATCGTGGACGTGCACAGCTAGCGCCGTCAGTAGAGGTTAATGATAAGACAGTGACGTTCTGAGGCATAACACCTTATCTCCGTTATCTAGAACACGGCCTGCACTTCACGTGTCCACGGGAACCTTACTCAAGTCTTCTTACACACCGAGATCTGCGAGTCAAGATGATAATGAAGACTGGTGTAATATTGTTCGTCTTCTGTCTCTGGTCCTTAGGTAAGCATACCCATCACAATGTCAGAATATTTGGCACCGGCGAAAACAAGGAATATTAACAAACTGTGTATCTATACTATCTGACCTCAACCGCCAGCGTACACATGCTGCGCCTGACGGGACTTTGTACCTACCAAATATAATAGGATATTCATAACTGAGATGTGATCTTTGTGTTTGACAGAGCCGGTCTGATGCACATGGCAGATGTTACATAATGCTTACCTGTACGTGGTAACTCAGTTATGTAACTATTGTACATAACAGACCTATTTACAGGCCTGGCACCATTTGTCACTATGACGAAGGTCATGACGACCCAGTCAACGAATATGTCTATGAAATACTGTTTTGATTAAAAACAGCTCACGAATATGACATATTCAAAGACGCCTTGTAACAATTCTAAAATATGTAAATATTCACGAATGCACAGTTGTCAAAGTTACCATATGCGTAGGAGACGGTTAAATTGTAACATGTCACCGATGCCGTTTGAAAACGACGTTGTGAAATTATGGAAGAGGAGTATGAATTATTAGTTTGTGGCAAAAACAAGAGGGACACAATTCAAATCAAATGTTACATCCATTTTACAAGACATCATTAAAGTAAAACATTTTTTGTCGAGACAGTGTATTATTCTGTGCGTGACATGAGTACGTGTTTTGCAAAGGCATTCTTCCTCTCTACATTATGAATGGTTTTAATTCACATGGATTTCACTGCAGGGATATGTCAAGTTCCCATGGGGGAATTGCCAACCAAGGTCACTGCGTTTGTTCGACATGCTGCCAACTTTGCCGCCAACGAAATAAACTCTCATGCTACCTCAACACAATGGTTTACGCTAACCAACATTCAGAATGCAACAATAGAGGTAAATTGATGGAAGGATGGCTCTATTTAAAACAAATAATTTACAAAAACGATTTAGTAGAAGAGATTCTTGACTTATTTGCTTGACAACCAAAACAACTTCTCCATTCCCACCCCCATACCACAACCACAAACACTCACCTCCATGTACCTACCCCGTCAAAGACACACCAACACAAATATACACGTTGGGAACCACCCTATCAGAAAACCGATGAATACAACAAAAATCTGCGTCACAGCGGGTCACATCACGCTTTCTACTGATCTGGGTCACATCAAGCTTTCTACTGATCTGGGTCACATCAAGCTTTCCTCTTGAATAAGGAAGACTCCAAGTTACAAAACTTGAACACTGTTTGAAGCACACACGGAGTTGGTAGTTACGCGTACATTGTTATGTTTAAAAATATTAATATAATATGTACATATAGTCATATTAATACTTATCCTTTGTACTTTGTGATTATCATCTGGTTTGTATATGTTTCACCCTGCAGGCGGTGATGGGGATAATGTACCGTATGGACATCACTCTTCAAGAGTCGTCCTGCAAGAACCTCCCCGCTAACAACAACGCTACTCCCTCAAACTGTCGACCCAAGGAGAGAGCATTGGTAACACTTGTTCATACTGTAGTTGAAAGGACAGTCAAATAGTTTTAATGGTAGATGTGGGGATCTTTTCTCAGCGTGGTGTATTTGAAAGAATTGCCTTGAATTTGTGAAGGCACTCAGATAACAATGTTGTCGCGAAATGCTTGACATTCCTTGGAGATTTGATGGCTAAATCATGAACACAATTTGAATCGGAGTTATTTTAGTCACACGAAATGATCACATTGCATGCAGCCGATATTGACCTGTCACTTAACATGATTATAGCGGTTGCTGAAATTAAACTTTCTATTCAAGTTCTAATGAAAAATATAAAAACAAAAACAAAACATTCCTCTCAACGGTAAATAGTAATTTCCTTACTTCAAACCAATCAAAATCGAAACTTCCTTCCTTTTCGTTTGTTTGTTTAACGCCGCACTCTTGCTATTTTTCAGTATTTGATATTATAGTTCAGTTACAAGAGACTAATTATAAATAACTTCCAGTGGGAAATGCGTTACTGGGAGGAAAGGTAAACTACAATAACCTTTTAAAGGAAGAGGTCTTTCATCGGCTTACTTCAACAAAACGATCTGGCGAAGTAATAAATCCAAAACCTGAGTCTGCTTATTACTAAGCGATATTGGTTCCCATTGTGGCCTTGCCTGCTTACGTCATACATAACCTGGTAACGGTAAATGGGCCACCTGAGTGAAAGCTTTGAACAACCCGTCTTTATTGTCAATTCTGGTTGTGAGATATCAAGATGAATTTATCCGATGATGTTCGTTAATATCGTAATTTGCTGTCAACAGTTGTCTACCTTAGTCACACTTGGATACAAATATTCTTTCACAGATTTGCCATGAGTATGATCCTTGCTTTCGGCACTCTATACGTGCTCACGTCGTTCGAAGAAATGGTAAAGGTCTCAGACGTGTAGTTTTACGCTTGAAGTTTATTGTAGTTAGACTCGGTGATGAACCGCATCTGTAATATGATAGTGTTCCAGATTGATTGAACGCATTATCACAGTCTTTTCATGTTGTGTAAATATATAGGGGCATGGCTGGCGGTGTGGTGTGCAGTGAAAATATGCTGAAACACATATGTATTGATTCAGGTGAACGGGTTGATATTGAAAGCATTCCTCAAACACAGCCCACGTCGGTTAGTGCTAGAGCAGTTTATGAAGATCTGGGTTGTAATTGGTCTTCAGCAACCCATACTTGTGATTTGCAACTAACGGGGCAGGGTGGTCGTGGTCGCTGACTTGGTTGATGCTGTCATCGCATCGGCGTCGATAGGTCGATGTGCGTGGTCTTAATCACTGGATTGTCTGGTCCAGACCTGCTTACAGAATGCCGTCATATAGTTGGAATGTTACTGCGTTCTTCGTTAAAAAACAAACAAAGCAAACATACAAACAAAACAAACTGCACTGAGCAACTGAAGACCACAGATAAGGTCTGAATAGAAAAATCCTTGACGTAACTTGTTTACGTCTGTCGGTAATTGTTCGAGTGATAATAGCTTCCAGACAAAACAAACCGCTTTCTCATTATCTTTAACTTTGTGATCTTCAGACGAAGTTTTGCCATGTTGAGGTGTTGGATGATCCAGGCACTACACCACGCTACTCACTGAAGGTTCAGCACTGTGGGACATAGCGCCCTGTAACAGTGCCATCCGTGCAGGGAGACGGTGTGATCCATCATCGAGGTAACCTTGTCGGAATTGCGCAATCCAAGGAATAAATATGTCAATAGGCACTCGAGTTCTAGGATCTCTGAATGGGACCGAATAGTCCCCACAGAACGTGCCCGCGAGGATATGGTACATGTTCTTGGAAGTTCCAGCATGTTGTAATGAGAGAGCCAATTGAAGGCTCGGTTCGAATACAGGCGTTAAACCAACCCTGTGTACAAGGCTACGTAGATACTCAGGATATTGTAACAGACACCGTTAGAGGTGAGAGATACATGTAAACATATGGTACCACCTGCCTTACATGTGTATAACACATGCATAGTAGAAGTCTACATGTGTGCTAACAAAGACTATGTGGCAACCAAATCACAAAGGGATATTGTGCAGGTTTTCCGTAGGAACAAGTCCTTCCTCGTGACTAAAAACGAGTTGAAACCCCGTTTCTGTCAGTTAACTGAACGGCGGGACTATCTAAGCCCATTGAAGTCACCATCGAAGTCAGTCAGCTTCTATTTTATTCCCCATGTCCCCATTCCCCATATCCTATGTAATTTCAAGAATTTGTAATGGTATTTTACCTTTTTAGGTCGTGTGGAATGTCATTGAAATGCGAAATGTTGCTTCCTCGTTGTGTTCGCTGCTCAAAGTATCTGGACATATTTTATTGCCGCTTCCAAAGTCTCGTCATTCGATATGAAGTCAGCATCAGACACACTCATACACCAGCAGTGGCGTGTGTATCACACCCATTAGAAACTGGTAGTTCGAAACCCCTTCCGTAGAAATCACATATGCTATAAGTGAATTTAGCATTTACCATGAGAGGGAATGATGTACGAGTTATGTTAAACGGCACAGTGGCCTCTTTCTTAAGAATGGAGGAGTGAGTGAGTGAGTTAATATTTAACGTCACATCGGCAATATTTCAGCCATATTGTGACGACAAAAAGTTATGTACTAAGAATAAACATATGTATACTTATTTAAAAACCTGCCAGCGAAGGACAGTATAACGACTAGAATATGACAATTCGATTAAAACTAGTTTGAATTTAGTGTAAAATGTTAAATCATTTCAAAACATCACAATATAAAATCGGGCTATAGATCGCCAACAACTGAAGGTAGATCACCATACTAGGGATCATGGAGACTTACATTACTTTTACTACATGCATGAGCCAAAGAATGGATGAACCCTTATCAGTACTGATATACCCTGTGGAGATCACACCAAACTATGTGTTCGTTTTCAATGTCACAAGCAGATGTTGGCCATTTGGAGTCAGGGGTTGAATAAACGTACCTACAGCACTGCCAAATATCGTAGTTGTATAACCTTGACAAGTTCATGACCAACTCTGTACAAGACAAGCATGGTACATGGCACTGGATCGTCGAGTCCATCACTTGATTGTGTAGTCCATCACTGGATTGACTGGTCAGGAGCAGAACTTCTTGGAGGGACATCTTAGAAGTTGTAAAGATGAAGGAAAACCAGGTTATATGGATATTCAAGTTACTCCTTTTTTTGCAATCAGTGCGACGTTTCGGTGTAGGTACTAACACCGTTATCAAGCAGTACAACTTGATAACGGTGTTAGCATCTACACCCAAACCGAGCGCTTCTGCGTTGGGTTAGGCAACAAATATATTCTTATCATTCTTTATTGCAAACTATGCCAGACTGTATTCCTCTTTCAGCGAACACCGCATGCCCTCGGTTTCGGATTCGTTTATATCATTTTCATAGCTATTTTACCTCAAACACCAAATGATTAATTTGTTTTGTATTTTACACGTACAAGACAATTTGTCAACATGCATGTCTATATATCAGATATTGATTACGTGTAAAGCTTGTGATGAAGTTGGAAGTAATCAAGACGGTAAAACGTTTGCTTGTCACGCAAGGACTCGGGTTCGATTACAAACATTCTCTGTTCGCATATTCCTGGAATGTTGTTAAAGCGATGTAAAACAACACGCAGTCATTGACTATAAAGCTTGCATGATATCCTAGGAAGTATGGCCAATATCTGGTACGCAGAGATTCCTGTAAAAATATGCGTCTCATAACTATTCATGTCAGTACAAAAGACGGACAAAGTATACAGATGGTTGTTATCTTTTAAGACCCATCATGTACAACCGGAAGAAAACTCACGTTGTAATTACAGGAATGACGTCCAACTAGTACGTGTTCAGATCAATAGAGTCATCTGCATATCGTTTATGTTATTATATTTGCATTTGTTGTGGCTAGTGTGTTAAACGACAGCGAGATAACAGCCTTGTAATGCGGTGTTCTGCGTCAGCCAATGTGTAGCGCGGAAATGAAATTTTGGAATGGGTGATAGATTTCGAATTCGAAGTGAATAAATGTATGTTGCACCCAACGGCTTTCTAGTTTCCAAGAATGAATTAGTGTGTGTATTCGGTGTCTTGGTGATGACTGGATAGTGTCTTAAATGAAAGCGAAAATTTAAGGAATCACATTCACTTAGTGCCTGCTGAATGCATTGTCATATCAGTTTGAAGCCGTCTGTGAGCCATCCATTTGGAGCCATCTTTATTCAGTTTGTCACATCCATTTGGAGCCATCTTTATTCACATCCATTTGGAGCCATCTTTATTCAGTTTGTCACATCCATTTGGAGCCATCTTTATTCAGTTTGTCACATCCATTTGGAGCCATCTTTATTCAGTTTGTCACATCCATTTGGAGCCATCTTTATTCAGTTTGTCACACCCATTTGGAGCCATCTTTATTCAGTTTGTTACATCCAATTGGAGCCATCTTTATTCAGTTTGTCACATCCATTTGGAGCCATCTTTATTCAGTTTGTCACATCCATTTGGAGCCATCTTTATTCAGTTTGTCACATCCATTTGGAGCCATCTTTATTCAGTTTGTCACATCCATTTGGAGCCATCTTTATTCAGTTTGTCACACCCATTTGGAGCCATCTTTATTCAGTTTGTCACATCCATTTGGAGCCATCTTTATTCAGTTTGTCACATCCATTTTATTCAGTTTGTCAGCCATTTGGAGCCTTTATTCAGTTTGTCACACCCATTTGGAGCCATCTTTATTCAGTTTGTTACATCCAATTGGAGCCATCTTTATTCAGTTTGTCACATCGATTTGGAGCCATCTTTATTCAGTTTGTCACACCCATTTGGAGCCATCTTTATTCAGTTTGTCACATCCATTTGGAGCCATCTTTATTCAGTTTGTCACATCCAATTGGAGCCATCTTTATTCAGTTTGTCACACCCATTTGGAGCCATCTTTATTCAGTTTGTCACATCCATTTGGAGCCATCTTTATTCAGTTTATCACATCCATTTGGAGCCATCTTTATTCAGTTTGTCACATCCATTTGGAGCCATCTTTATTCAGTTTGTCACATCCAATTGGAGCCATCTTTATTCAGTTTGTCACACCCATTTGGAGCCATCTTTATTCAGTTTGTCACACCCATTTGGAGCCATCTTTATTCAGTTTGTCACATCCATTTGGAGCCATCTTTATTCAGTTTGTCACACCCATTTGGAGCCATCTTTATTCAGTTTGTCACATCCAATTGGAGCCATCTTTATTCAGTTTGTCACACCCATTTGGAGCCATCTTTATTCAGTTTGTCACATCCATTTGGAGCCATCTTTATTCACATCCAATTGGAGCCATCTTTATTCAGTTTGTCACATCCATTTGGAGCCATCTTTATTCAGTTTGTCACACCCATTTGGAGCCATCTTTATTCAGTTTGTTACATCCAATTGGAGCCATCACCGTTCCGTCCTCACTCATGTTTATGTTGGAATAACGCAGTGGCATGTTTTGTAACAGGGTGGTATACAGTACAGTTTCTGCATTGGTTGTCAAGGTTCTCAAACATGAACGTAGAGAAATTATTTTAGATTTGTAATATCATAATTTTTCAAATTGTAAACTAAATATATTCAGGACGCATGTATTAGTGGCGGAGGTTACATGAAAATATTACCAAAAATACGGCAGTAATCTAATTATTCAGTCATAGGAGTATTTTCAGTAGACTCTACTTTCAAAAACACACAATGTTGCCCAGGCATGTAAATTAGATCACAGGCACACAATACAAACATAACTGGAAGTAGGATACCTCTCTGTTTACACACAAGACAAGAGTGGTCAGTTTACTGTACTGCCCAGCAGTCGACTGAGGCGCCTGGAAAAGGTAGGTCAGTGTTCTGCTTCCAGGCCGTTGAAATATATATTCAGATGAACAGAGTCACTGACAACATTTGTACTGTTCCTCTCAAAACTCGGACAAATGATACTCTTTGAAACAAAGGTTTTCAACAATTTTTGTCACGAATCGTGACGAAGATGTGTATAATTAAATCTCCGTCTTCAAAAACATATAGGGCATTTTGTCTAAAATGAACGGCAAACAGTCTTCTGGGATCAATATGTGAGATGCTGTATTTCCTCCTGCTGTGAATCTGTGTTGAATGTAAGTGTAGGACATTCAAGAAACTGAAGCATAGACAATCAATTAAATCGGCTGTTACTCATTATCACTTGGGAGCTAATTAACTTAACGCTCTGAAAAGCGAGTAGCCTCGGCATGGGTAATTAGGGAGAAATGAGCGCTGAGATACAACCCCACACATCTTTCTCTTGGACAATTCAGATCAGTCGAACACGCCTCAATAAAGCAGACTCGTACAGAAAGAAACGTTTCTTGGGCTGAAAAAAGAATTGCCTGATTCCAACTAAAGGTCCTTGACCAACGGAGTAACTTGCGTCGTAAGAACAAAAATGTACTTGACATAAAGAAAGCAATCCAGAGAAAAGTGGTAATCCATGGAATACCAGAAATAAGGGGTATCAAATACGAAAATACCCAAAAAATCTAGCCAATAAGTTTAGTTGATTGCCACTAGAGGTTAATCAGTATAAGATCAAAATCGCCTCTTAAACACATTCGCGAAACTAAATCTCGACACGAGAAGTCAGTGACTGTCAACATTTAGTGATCAATTGTGATGATAAGAACGTGATGTATGT